AAAAAAAAAGAGAGAGTTAAAATATAACATACGCATGTCCCTCTCAAATTTTATATGTCCTTGGCCCCATACAAGAACTTCATACAAAAAGGAGTATCTTTCTTAAGTATTAAAAAATAAAAAAACATCACACTACATTTTCGGCATTGTTTTTGTCAGAAACGTTAAACGTGTTTGCCATTTTTACATGAACACACGCAAAAAAAAAAAAAAAAAAAAAAAAAAAAATACGAAAACGTTCATTCATAACAATTCCACACGTGGTTTTTTTTAGCCTTCATGTTTAGGCGTTATATACTGGTTAAGGTTATAAACGAATAGAAACCCACCTTTTTTAGTGATTCTTTTTCTTTTTTCAATTTTTGTGACACAATGCCAGGTATGCTTAAACATGTGTGTAGCTTATAAATTTAGAAAGGAGCAAACCTGTGGCACCTTTTTCACCTGCTTCACTGGCTACATGTATTCCGTGGGATTCACGTGGTTATGCTATGTTATATATTTTTTTTTTTGTTCCCTCACCATCCACAGAACAAGAAATAATTGCCGAAGATACCTCCAACACAAATGCTGAATCGGAAGTGGACGAACAGACGGGTAAGTAGAGGAAATTAGCGTTACAGGATTTCATGGCCTGACGCGTGTGTGTGTGTGTATCCATTTGGACCCCCCACGCTGTGTATTCCAGTGCAAATTACTCATGTGTACCTGCATGTTACTCCTATATGTATCATGTGTTCATCCCCGTTGCTCCTTTCCTCTCCACCCTCTTCCAACCGCAGAACTCCTGGAAAAGAAAACGGCACAGGAACTGTTCGATATGGGGACACTAGAATTCAAGGAGAACAAAAACTTCGACCTAGCTGCGGAGAGGTTTTCCATGGCCGTGGAGAAGAAGTAAAGAGGCTACCCCCTTTTTCTGCGCATTTGTCGAGCTACTTTTCTTTTCCAAGTCAAAATTGTGCCGATATGTCTTCACCCACGCGCACCCTCTCCGCCCATTCGCAGAGTGAAAGAATTAAACGCAGAAGGGAGCATCCACGTCGACTTGCGTGAATACTACCTCTCCTTTGCTGATGCCCTTCTAACCAAGGAAGAAGAAAAAAACGATCTTTTCGAATTCTTGAAAAAAAGTAACTCCTTAAAATGAGTGCATCGGTTGAGTACAGCGAGTTGAGCGGTGCGGTAATATGTGGACCGCTTCTGATGAAGACAGGGTTTCTCCCTTGCCGATCCTTCCCAGTGTGCTATGTTAACATTCCGCCTTTTCCCCCATTTAGAGAAAAAAATCGAAGTGCCCGACACGGAGGAGGATTCAGTTGAGAAGGAAGAAGTCACGGACGAGCAGGTAATTAAAATTTCGTGTTTCCCACGAGAGAATTTTTCTAGGTGTTCTTCCTTCTACATGGCAGTGTTTTCCCGTTGTCATCGTGCGGACCGTTTTCCCTTCACTTGTTTTGGAATGAGAAACGACATGCACCCATTCGGACCCATTTGCGTACCCATTTGTTCCCTTCTTCCACCCCCCCAAAACCAGCTTGCCTTTGAGATGTTCGAATTCGCAAGAAAATGTTACGAACTTCTAGTGGAACAGCAGAAGGAGAAGATGTCGAAGAAGGACATTTTGAATTACAGCTACGTGTTTATTCGCCTTGGGGACATCAGCTTACTGAACCACTTTTTCGAGGAGGCATTGAAGGTGGGCTCCTGCGCGTGCAGAGCGAAAATGTGGGGCGATGCCCAATCGTGTCCTGTTGGGTCAGTTTTTTGCGAGTCTCATTTATCGCTCCTCATTCACCGCCTTGTATTCACCGGTTCCTCCCCCCTGCAGGAGTACCAAAAATGCGTGAACTTACGGGAGAAGCACAACGTGGGAGATGAGAACCTGATCGCCCCCCTGATTTCCCTGTCCCAGAGTTACATGTTCTGTGGAAAGAGGAAAGAAGCAGTAGATTATTTCGAAAAAGTAAAAAAAATCCTACTTGACGTGAGACAGAAAACCACCCCACTGCCAGACAACACGAACGAGAAGATTATACGGGACACATACGACGATGTCCAAATACAAATTAATGACTTGAAGAGACAAATAGAAGAGGAGGGCGCGGAAGGCACGCAGTTGGGAAGCCAAACCATTGCGAAGGAGTTGGTAGTCATGACAAAGGTTAGTCACTAATCGTGTGTACACCACATGTGCGATTGGGCACCTGCACAAGGGATCAAAAAGTGCAACTGCTCTCACACACGAAGGTTCCACCTGCTTAGCAGTGCAACACATATTGTGATACATATGTAAGTGTATGCATGTGTATACATATATATATTTTTATCTCCCTCCTGCGCAGTCCGAATTCGACAAGGCAGTACTGAACAAAGAAAACAGCGAAGTTACCAAAATTACAATTTCCGCGGTTAATGATGACGAGCAGGGAACTAAGAGAAGAAGGATCAACTTATCTAATTATAAAAATTAGACAAAAGTGAATTTCCCCACTGTGCCACAAGTTGAGAACAAGTATGTGCAAGGTGTGGAATGTGCTCAATGTGTGCAAAGTGTACAAAAGCGGAAAACCAAACAGGGAAGAGGTACAGGAGATACACACATTCACCTGAAATGTTTTTACACATGTCTAGCACAAGTGTAGAGCGCGCTCCCGTTTTGTATCCATCGGTTTCGATTACTTCTTAGGGGGAAGGAAAGCAGCAAATACGATCATAACGGAATATAGCGTATAGCATAACGTAGCGACAGTGTTTACTCTCCCCCCTTCCCCATGTGTGGTACCGCTAAAATTAGGTATAAAGTGACCCATGCGCCTTTTTTGACTAACCATTTTGACTAGCCATTTTCACTAACCATTTTGACTAGCCTTTTTGACTAGCCATTTTTGACTAGCCATTTTTGTCTTGATTTTTTTTTTTTAATGCCTTCGCGTAGGCATACATGCATACATACTTGCTTACATATACGTATACAGTACACGCCCCTTTTTTTCTTCTCTGCACGCGAAAGGAGGCACACAAAAATGTGTGCATGAAACAAAGGATGGAGACGTTTTTTATGTGCACAGGCACTGAGCGCGCACTTCTTTGTTTTTGCGCATCCCGCGTCTTCCACCACGTTAAGCTACTGGCATGTACCTTCCACGTTTATCCACGTGTCATGACTAGTTATCCGTGCACTGTTCAAACGTAACAGAAAAAAAAAAAAAAAAAAATATACCGTGCATAAGTAGAAACAACACACTGTGTAAGAACTGATTAAACGAAAAAGGTAAATAGTAACATGTGATGATAATGAGAAAGACATGCGATTCGCCTGAACACGGATCCAATGACCAGGTATGCAGCGATGTTGTTTGCCTTTTGTATAAGTAGCCAAATAATCAGACAGCGTTTGTCCAGTTTGTTACTCTCCTCTTTTCGCTCATCGTACATCTTTTCCCCTCCTCCCCCCAAAAAAACTTCAAACGGATTGTGCGTATCCATATTATATAGAAATATTTCTGCTGTTCATTTATTTCCATTTCTATTCATCAGTCGTAGTTATATGGGATATGTATGTGTTAAAAAAAAATTAAAAAAAATTAAAAAGCGAGCATGAGAAATGATTACCGTTTTGGGTCAGCATATCCATATGCATCTGTACATATGTAACACTTGTCCAGGTTTGTATTTACATATGTTCACAGTAATACAAAAGCATACAACACATACATCATTCAAAAACATGAATATGTGTCTGGCCTTATCGGTGTGGCGACTTAAGCTCAGTGGATAACCAAATACACACACATACGGGGGGCATATATATCTCGGATTGTTTGTACATATATATGCCTACATGTCACACAATGAGCTCTTTGTCTGTTTTGATCTTTTCATTTTTTACTGACGACGTAGGGTACGTGTGCGCGTGTGTAAGGGGTAACCGCAAAAGTGATGGAAAATGCAAAAAGGGGGCGATGCACCTGCACCTAAATATGAACCAGGGGTGTATAACAAATTTAAATAAGTAACCGCAATGCCTGCAGGAAAACCAACTGCAAGGTGAGAAGCAAGGCCATCTGCAAGGCACATTTTTTATTAAAATAATCAGGGGGTACTGAAATGAACAAGAAAACAACGCTGCTTCGACATTATCTTCCAAATAAATGTCTTAACAATTGAAGTATCATGGGTGTGCTGTTTTATATTTATGCTTTTCATTTAAATATTTGGGGAAGGTTGCATCAAAAAAAAAAAAAAAAAAAAATGAAAAACGCTGTGGTGTACGAGTTCAATGAGTGTATGCAATGATGGGATGCATTGTCCACATGCGTACGCGTGTATGTGACGAGGAGTTCACGTCCTATGCAAACATGCATATAGGCACACACACACGCATGTGTACATGTTCGAGGTTCTGTACAGAAGTCATAAACCCCTCTGCGTTCATGTTATGGTTTGCCTCCACATTCAAGGTCATTTATCAGGGTAGATGCACAAAACAAGATCTACATTCCCCAAGGTGTAAGACTTGCTTGTTTACCTACGTGTGGTTTCTGCTTTCTGGAGTGGTCATTATGCAGAAAATTTTCTTGTCAATTCATTTTATGGACGCAAAAAAAAAAAAAAAAAAAAAAAAAGAATAAATAAAAAAAAACAGGTGCAAGGCGAATACTTATACGTGGTGAATGTGGGCGTGGATATATGCTCCCTGGGGGGGAGTAATACTTCCGTGCGTGTGTTTTCTTTTTTGCTGCATTGAACACGCACTTGTATTTTGTTGAGTATTCGCATGCGAATGAATGTGCTATACAAAAGATTAAAACTTCGGACGTGCACACTGCTACTACTACTACTACTGGCGCTACTTCTTCGATGCGTACAGTGTTGCAAACACATCATATTTATTGTGCACACTATGATGTATCTCCAGCGTTGAGATTATTTATACATGTTCCATGGCTGATGAGAAAGCACAGGGTGGACTGGCGACGTGCCGTCTCATTTACCCCTCAGTTACTCATCTTTACCGAAGACAACACCCCACTATGTTCACAAATATTGTCGCGTTCTGTGTATAACACTCTTTTCGTGTTTTCTCCCCCCTCGAGGGAGTCTTCGTTCGTTTGCCTATACTCAGAGTGGTTGAGTGGAAGATGGACCATGGGGAATATGCTAAGGGAGCTAATTTTTTTTGTCTTCACATTGGAGCTATTTAGCAGGTTCATCATTTCTTCATTTTCTTCCCATATGAGTCTTCGATTGATTCCTGAGTTATCAATCTCGTTTGTCCCTAGGCCGTGGATGTAGTCGTAAATCATGTTGAGCGGCTCAATTTCATTAAATAGGCCTGTCTGTGCTGCGGCAGTGTTGATGTTTTTCGTGCTCACATCATCATCACAGCTAGCATCGTAGGTGGTATCGAAATGGTGCTCTCCATGTTGAATGCCCAACTGTCCCTGGTCGTCCACCTGGACATACCCATTCAGATTTTCCCCTTCGGTAAGGCTATTTCCCTCCTCTTCCTCCACGGTAGAGACGCTATTGCACATAAACGTTTCAGCGTGATGTCTCTTCTTTTTGTAGACGATCTCCGGGTTGCAGCAATTGTCCCTCCTTCCACATGTACTACAGGCAACATGGCTCGAAAAATTGTTGCCGACAAAATCCCTCTCATTGACGACGTTCCAACAGCCTTCGCTCACGGGGCTCCAATAAACCAACCCATTGCGAGCCTCTACTACATCGTTGCTTCCCTTGTTGCTCTTCTTGTGAGGGTTCATACTCATGTTCCTCTCACAATTGGAGGCACTACGAAAGATTTTATTCGAAACCATAGCATCATCACTCTTTTGAGGTTGGTTGACTACACCCATATTCACACATTTTTTCTCATCATTCGAGTCACCATTTTGGTAGCTCTCCCCATTTCGGACTTCACCTTCGTCACCCCTTCTTCCTGTTACTTGGTGACTCTGATCTAAACTACTATGGTGATAGTGATTGGGGCACTCTTCCACATGTTGCACTCTGACATTTTGGCACGAGTTAAGGTTGTTGCTGAGGACGATGTTTACTCCTGCGATAGGGGCACTGCATACTACTTGGTTGATTCTGCCCATTCCATGAACACAAACACTTGCATTGTGGCTTGCGTGGGGCAAGAACCTCGCAGATACAACTTGTTCGTGGTTCACTTCTACAAGGCTTCTTCCCATGGACGCATTGAAGTAGCCTTCTCTGTTCATACGACTGCTTTCCGTGTTAACGCTAATCATTTCGTTGAGGATGTTGTTTGCTTGATAACATCGGTTGGCTCGATCAACACTATCGCGGTTGGATTGGCCCCCGTGATGAAGACTCATATGTCCGTTATAACGATTGGTGGTACTACTTCCACTGGCCTGATGACCCGTGTGTTGACTACCGCTGGCATCATTTGCCCCATTCGCGCCGCTCGGACCATTGCCTCCATTTTCATTGTCGTGGTTCCTCGCGTCACCGATGCCCCTATTAGGGAATCCGTTGTTTCCGTTTTCATTATCGCTGTTTTCATTCACATCATGGCCGTTGCTGACGCTTTCGTCATTACCTTGGCGATTAACTCTGTGTTGGAGGTAGTTGTAGAAGTACGTGTCCCGGTTGTGGTGATGGTGTTGCTGAAAATGGTGCAGCGGGTTATGCTGCTCATACTGCTGTACATACTGCTGTCCATACTGCTGTGCGTACTGCTGTGGATAGTGGTGCACGCCCCGAGTATTCAAAGACGCACTGTTGTTACTGCCGCCACTACCACCATCATGATTACTTCTCATCATGGTCATTCTGTTATCCCAGTTGGCAATGTTACCACTGTTCGCTACATTATAGGAACCTCGACTCGTTCGATAATTCTGCAAAGCACTCCCATTAAAAACCCAGTAACCACCTGCTGCGGCCGCTGCTCCGGCTGCTGCTCCATTATTTTCATCAAGGGGGTGGTGGTGGTGGTACTGCTCCATATAGTTGTACCCTCGCAAGCTCTCTACACTACTACTGTCATTACTACTGGGCTCTATTCTTTCTCCGCCTCTGGCAAACATGGGGTTGTGATTCATGCCTCCTCCAAGGCTTGCCTGATTATGGTAATTGTTTGTTCCATTGTTATGTTGATGATTGGCTCCGCGGTTTTGTCTGTTGCCATTTCCTCTTTCATTGGCTTCACCGCTACCACTGCCACTTCCACCACCGCCGCTTGCACCACTTCCTTGTCCTCCACCGGAATTGTTTTGATTGTTGGGGTTACCACCTCCATTGTCGTTATTTCTACCATCGTCTCGGTTGGGTGGTGGACCCATGTTTGGTCGGTTGTTCGCATTGAGTAGCGAAATGGACCTTGCGGGGTGTTGTGCAAATTGTGCACTATCACGAGAACAAACTTCAATTTTGCATTGGCCGGCTTTAAAAATAGAACCCACAGGTAAAGGGACGGGTTCAGAAAAGGGCGGGATTTTTAAAAACGTTCCCAAGGTACTAGTATCCCTCAAAAGCCATCTTTCTCCAACGGGCTTGGTTCCATCATAGTATATTAAGCAGTGCTCCCTAGACACATAACCATTTGAATTTGTAACAGATAATTTTTTGTAACTAGATTGTGCATAGGGACCTCTCCCTAAGACTACTCCCTTAGGGTCGATATACTCCGTTTTTAAAGTGACTTCATCTTTTACTGTTCCAAAATCAAATTTAATTAGCAAATTGGATTCAATATTTTCACAATAGGAAGGCATATTATCTTCACCCACATTGTTGCTAGCGTCTTGTCCATCGGCCCCGCGCTCTCCACCTTGTTCAGAGATTCGTTCTTGCACACGTTCCGCATTCGGATCGACTCCCGATGCGGCTCCAGCTTCATCCCTCTGTTCAGCATCATCTTCATTTTCCTTAACCACTGCTTCTCCTCCTGCTACTGCATCCTCCGCTCCTTCCTTTCCCTTCTCCTTCATGAGTTCATTTAACTCATGTCTGTCAAGTACTTTATTGGACTTCTTGTCCCACACGTATCCTTTGTAAGGCATACCAGCGGTATTCTTATCAATGGACACGGTAACTTCAAGTCGGTCTCCAATATGGATTATATCCCCTTCCTTAAGTACGTGGTTATTATTAACCTTGATCATGGTGCCAATAGTTGACCCACAATCCACTACTCCAATATTATTATTTTCTGCCTTAACAAATATGAGATGTGATAAGGAGACGGAAGAATGAGGCATATGAATTAAACTCTTAACATGTCTGCCTCCATCCCAAGGTAATCTATTTGGCAAAGCAGAAGAATCGAAAAATTGGCTATCAATTTTATGGGTTCTATCCTGAATAATTTTTAAAATTATTTTTTCATCTTTCCTTATACACATGGATGGGTTCTGTGTAATATAATTCTCCACCCATGCATGTAACCTTTCATTAGTCACTTCTTTATTATCTTTGTCATACCCAATGAGTTCACTGAATATTTTACAATCGTTAATGTTAAATACCCACTTGGCCTTGGACCACAGATTGTTAACTGTGAAAAAGTCGACAATGCAGGCAGTCAGGTCGTCAAAGAAGACAGGTACAGAAATCATGTCGTTGAGAAAAATACGCAAAAATAAAGGAACACTCACTTGGGGTTTAATAAAATTTTCGTTCCACCAAATTTCATCTACTGTATTTACTATTTCAATTGATTTGTATATCTTGATCGACTTTCTTCTTAAATTATATATGCGTACTAGGTTCGAGATAATTGTGTTTATGCATACTGTATGTCCTAGGGCTTGTCTACACAGGGGGCAATTCTTCCCATTCAATTTGTTATGCCCTATGCAGTATCTACAAAAAGTGTGTCCACAGTTCATCGTTACAGGTAGGTAGAAATAATCGAGGCATATTGGACAGGTGAGTTCTCTTTTTAAACATTGTATGAAACTTTCAACTGTTAGTCCTGCTGTGGGAAGAGCTACTGCTGATCCTTGGGCTCCTACCCCCGGGATGGAAGAACCTCCGGTAGATATTCTTCCTACTGCACTACTTAATGTATTTAAAGGGGAACCACCTTCTAAATGATTCTCATTGTTGAGAATTGATGCCACTACTAATTCGTCATTTAGTTGGTCGTTGTCAACCATGTGTAACATATTCCTTTCCACTTCGTCGTCCTTCTTTTTAATATTTTCTCTTGCCCTGACTTCGCTCAACTCTACTCCTTGCATGACAGCATTCGCCTGGTTTTCTCGGTTCAGTTCTTCATACGGGTTGGCCTGTTCCTGTTGCTGCTCAACTTCTTCTCCCACTTCCTGCTGTTGCTCTCCCATGGCCTCATCCCACGAATCTCTCACTTCATCTGCGTGGTTGCTCTCGGCGTGTACTCCGTTCTGCACGAAGTAATTGCTGGATCCGTTCACAAACACGTTGTCCCTCTCGCCCCCGTGGATGTGGCTCAAGGGATCGTTCTTTGCTCCTTCACACTGCTCTGCGTTAGACGCTAAATTGGTAGACATATCCACAGCTATATTGGCGGCTATGTTCGAGGCTGCGCTTGTGCTAACATTTAACGCTACACTTGCGGCTACGCCGTCGAGTAGACCTTGGTTCGCTCCGCGCATACCACTACTACCACTGCCCTCATAGCCACCCAGGATGTTGTCCCCATTGAAAACGAAGACCCCGTTGCTGATGTTATTTGTGGTGCTCTGCGCTGTGCCATTGGGGACGTCGCTATTTGGGAGTCCCCTATCCGGCAATGCGCCCTCCGACGGAGCGCCATTTATGAGTACGCTGGAATTGCTCCCTTCAGGGTGTCGACTGCCATACTGCTCGTTGTTCTGTTGTTCTGCATGAGAGTTCTTTACGCCGCGGCGCAAGCTGCCGCTACCATAGTTGGACTCTCCTCTCTCGCTGGCCATATTTTTATTTTCGTTTCTATTCAATCTATCTGTTCTCTTTCTTCTAGAGTTTATATTATCCTCATCGTCTTTTGGAGTGATACATTCATCCTCTAACGAGTCATTGTCGTCAATGAACATACCATCGTCATTAACGATGAAGTTATTATTTTCGCTGTCTTCAATGTTGATTCCGTTGTTGTTACTTCTACGCTGTCGGGTTCTGCCTCTGTTATTCGACTCGTTCATTTTCTTTGGTTATTCATGCGTGTAGGGACGTGCAGATACGCTTGAAGCGAAAATGTATCTCGCTTGTGGCCGTATGGAGAGTCGAGACGGGCGTAGTGTAACACGGTAAGCAAGTATGGAGAACACGTGTATTCGTATGTATAAGCTAGCACCTTATGTAGGTATGCATGTACAACCGCACTGCGTATATGCTAGTTCGCTAGCGAGATGAATTGTGTAAATTGGGTCTACGACACGGGGCGTGTTAAATGTAGTGGATGTGCGTGTTGGTGTGCGCTGTGGAGGGGCACATTAAGGTACGCACTTAAGGCAGGTAACCAGGGCACGCACTTTAACTTATGCAGCTATGATAGCTGTTCATTCATGCAGTTACGGTACGCAATTAAACATGTGCACTTCGGTTGGAAGGTAGCTCACGCAGGGTAGGGTGTGCCTCTCGCATGCATACGCACAACGCGAGGGGGGCAAATCCACTACAAGGAAAGAAGGAGCACGGCCGCTCTGGCTTTACATAAAAAGAAGTTCTGCACGTAAGGGGGAAAAAATCAGCGCGCTCGTGTGCGATAGCGCATGCGCGTGGGGAGATGGTACTTCACAATGGGGTTGAGAGCAAGGGCTCTTATGAAAGTATACTTATGGTGCAGGCACTCCTACAGCATAGATCTTCTTCTAACACTTATGCTAATTATGCATTCACGTGGCCATGCATTTACACACATAATCACACAATGTCAATGCTGTATGTACATAAATTCACGTAAGGTATACATCACAGGTGAAGCATATTCGTATGCAATGGATAATCAATCAAGTTGGTTTCTCTCCCACGAGTACAAGCATGTGCTGGTACTTGCAGATGGGTACAGCTGGGCACTCGTATGTACAGGTATGCACAGGTATATAGCGATTTATGCTGATATGTACTGGTGTAAACAGGCACGTGCATATATATAACTCATAAAAGTGAATAGCTACACGAATTTGCTCGCACAGGCTATGCTCTTCTTTACTGTTTTTTTTTTTTTTTTTTCGAGGACTTAAACAATGGCGCCGCTGCAGCTGGCGTTAAAAGAAAAAACTTATGCTTGGGCAATTTTCTTTTAAAAAATTCGCCTTAAAATGTATGCGCTGTTGCGAGAAATGGGCGATTTACAAAAAAAGGGGGAGTAAAGGAAAAAGGAAATATGCAGAGAAAAGGAAAATAAAAGCGAAACGCAAAAGGAAAGAAAAGGAGAAAGTATACTTCATACATTAACATATAAACACATAAAAACATTTAATCCTGCTCAAGAATTAAACATTTTTATCTTGTTCATATTAAAAAAAAAAAAAAATATTTTTTCGTACGTAATATATATAATAGCGAAAATCCTTTTTTTTTTTTTTTTTTTTACTTGCATTCCCTTGGGGGCACACGAGTAAAATTTAAATGATTTCACGATGCATGTATTTTTTTTATATACTCACGTACGCACATATAGTATATCTGTCTGCATGTACGCACGAAGGAATTACAAGTGTGACCGTGTACGCAAAAAAAAAGCGAAAAAAAATATATTGGCTTACGCGTACATGTTCGCATGCAAGTGAGGTGTGTATGTATGACTATATATACACGTAGGCAGCTATTACTAAGGACCTAATGTGCTGCTAACGCCATATGCGCTGCGAAGCATACGTGGTAGGGACACTATCACAGGCTTACACGCACACTTGTTGGAGAATATGTAATGAGTACGTGTAAATTGGCAGAGCAGGCTCAAACATATGTGCTCGAGCATACGGCACATATATAACACCAGGGCTCCAATCAAACGCGCACAAGCATATAATGGCTTAAAACAAAGTACATAAATGTAGGCACACGTATATATGTACATATATGTAAATAGGCGTTTTCTCTTCTGTTCAACAAGGAACCTTTTGGGGCTGTTATTTTTCTTTTTTCACCCACTCCCTTCTTTGCAATATGCTTACAATTAATGGTTGGGGAAAAAGAAAAGGCAACTACTGGAAGCAAAGGGAAAAAAAACTACTCAACTGTCATATAACAATTGTCCTCTTGTCCTCTGGTACTTGTTCATCAGAGATCTCACGTGAGGCTTGCGTGTAAAGAGAAGGTAAAAAAAAAAAAAAAAAGGCGCGCTGAAAAATGGCAAATGGCACGTTAAAGAAGGATGGTGTTGGACGAAAGGGGTAAGAGAGCATATGGAAACGAAGGTACTCAGGTATGGCATAAAGAGTCACACAGTGTGGGAGTGGCAGAGAGAAGAAAAACATGAAATTGTAAAATACGTAAATTATGTAAATTGGGTAAAACTTGTCAAGTGGGTATAAATTGTAAAATTTGTAAAACATGAAAAAAAAAAAAAAAAGAAAAAGTGAAAAAAGAAAAAAAAAAAATGTCGTTATTTTCGATGCAGTTCATGTAAATTTTCAGTTCGATACAATTCAGTAACACAATCACTTTTAGCTGTAGCGCGACTTTCAATTTTTCTTTCTCGCTGAATTCACTTTTTTAAAAATTAAAATTTGTACACTTGTGGGTGATGTTTGCCCCACCGCGGTATATATAATGGAAAGGTGGGGACCAAACCAATTCACGACGGGGCCAATTTGTATGGTAATAGGCTACATGAACACATGGCATACGCTTGTACCGCACATATGACATATTACGTGTACTGTGCACATATGAATTTTATACATTCACATGCGCTCGCGCTTACACATAAACGCCCCATGCACAGGTAGCGCTAAGTGTATATCACGGGAGATACACGCACAGCGTTCTTTGTAGCTTCTGCACTGTTTTAAGCGACGGCTAAAAGAGTGTAGAGATTAATGACATGCATATAAGAAAAAAAAAAAAGGCATAACATCATGTAAAAAACGGCGTTATATTTCTTTGCCTCACATGTATAGTAATAATGATATATTGTAACATTCGCTTGTTTTGGTTTTCCTGCACTTGGTGATCTTGCTGGCGAGGGAACAAAAAAAAAAAAAATTAAGTCATGTAGTTTCACCGAGGCGGATATCAACAGGAAAAAAAAAAAAAAATGTTAAACATTTGTGCGTATGTAAATGAGCATTATGTAATTACCCAAGGGAAATATAAAACACACATGTATATTTATGGTACGTATGTGCGCATATAAATGGATACCTTCACATACGTGTACACATGTGCCCCATTGGCCCATGTGCATGAATTGCGCATGCAATTTTAAGGTGAAGGGACAAGAATAATTTTCTCACCAAGGCGTGTACGTAATAAGTAATTGAGAAAAAAAAAAAAAGCACATGCACTTTTACGCCGGTGAACACAAGGCACACTGTGGCGCGGGGCCAAAAAATAAAAAAAAAAAGTGAAAATATGAGCAAAGTGAATGGCGCCAACTGGGAGGTAAAGAAGTTGCAAAGCTGCCAACGGCAAACCTTAGCCCCTTCGTTGGTGTTGATCCCAGTTTTGGCCCCGTCCCGCCGCTTGTACAGTCTAAGGCAGCACGCGAAACAACCGACACACGTGTGCCTTTTCGCAGTTATCCCCTTCTCAAGTAGGAATTCATTCAATCACCCGCCACAAGTGCGACCCAGTCATCTGCTACCATATAGCACACGAGCCTGCGTGCGCACATGTACGTATGTAAGAAGGGAATGCTTGTGTGTATGACAAATGGACTACCGCACAGGTTGCTTAAGCAGGTGTCCGTTCGGTTGCTCGCAAGCAGGACAGCATGATATTACACGTATTATTCAGTTAGCCGTCCTTCCGCACTTAGCGTGGGGGAACAGACAATGGGTAGAGCCCCACGTGCGCGTCCAGCATGCACACTTTTTATATAACACTGCCATGCACACAATGTTTAAATATGCGCGTGGACGTCGTTATGCCCCCACTGCGCGATATTTCTATACCGGCAAAATGGGGGAATATTAAAATGTATGTGTATAATTGGCAATGTTCCTATTGCTCTATGGTACGAAAAATTATACAAAAAAAAATACTTCTGTGTAAAATTGTGATTCACGCGGCATGCATAAAGGACACCTCTGTGCATGAAGAAAGTTTGGAAAAAAAAAAAAAAAAAAAAAAAAAAAATAAACGTAGAAAAAAATGATAAATTTTGGTACTTAACGGCTTGGCAACGGAGATGAATGTAAGAGCGGAGTTTTTTTTTTTTTTTTTTTTTTTTTTTTTTTTTTTTTGTGTAGTCGCTTGTAACAACGAATGTGTTGTATGTAAACATACACGTATATATGTTTATATGCGCGTGTGAATGAGTAGGTCCACAAAAAATCACATACATACAAAAGTACATACACCTGTGTAAGCTGTTGGCCGCAAAGTGATATATATGCTCGGCGTATATTTCCCTCAGAATGGGGGTGTTCAATGTCACGAGGGAATATATATATACATATAATGGTCATACAAAATGATTATGAAACGAAATACTCATGCAGAGTTAATCAATAAACAATTTTCTTTCAATATTGTATTCAAATTAGTCACGTAGGTTTGGGTGGCATAAAAATATTTTCACAGTTCAGGCACATTTTATATTACAACAAAAATGCTTCCTGTTTTTTGTTGCAGTATTTTTGCAAAATGTGAAAGTGTTAAAAAAAAAAAAAAAAAAAAAAGGGGAGGGGATTTATTCATGCAGAATTGCATCAATTTTGTGTTTTTTTTCTTTTTTTCTTTTTTTTTTTTACGAAAGTTTGATGTTCTTTTTGTTGTAGTTACGTTGGTGAGAAGATGAACAAATTTTTACGACTGTTGTGTTTGCCAACTTTGAGGCTTGTTTAAGTCTGCTTCAATTTGCTCCGTCCTGTCGACCCCCTTGTTGCGTAGAATTTTTCTGTATAGCTATTCCATTCTGTTATCGCGGGGCGACTAAAATATATGGACGCAGGTCGGACAGGAGGGGGCCAACCGAATGGCCATGCACTTGAGCGCGCATATGTTCGGTGTATATATGTACATGTGGAAG